TACAGTAAGTAAAAAGCAAATCAAGGATCCTGGTTCTTTAGTATCCCATGGCTAATAATCAATTTCTACCAATGCCCAATAGCAAAACAAATATATTTTATTGATTCTTTACGGAGAGGAAGAGAGAGGAATAGAGAGTTAGAAACATCGATGAGTTAGAAACATTGATCAGCTGCCTCCTGCACACTCCCCACTGGGGATGTGCCCTCAACCAAGGTACATGCCCTTGACCGGAATCGAACCTGGGACCCTTGAGTCCACAGGCCGACGCTCTATCCACTGAGCCACACCGGTCAGGGCAACAATAAAGATTTTAAAAAAATAAACAATCCACTATGGATGGACATCACAGTTTAAAAAAAATAAAAATGTCCAACAACTCAAGTTTCCACAATAGCCGTGGTCTCCGTGTCGGCTAAGATGAACCAGGAAGTGAAGTGTGGGAAGGGGGTGAGGTGATGCCCACGCCCGCCAGGAGGAAAACTGAGAAGTCCCCCTCTTGGGACTTTTCTGGAGAAATGACGTCACAGTGAAGTGACGAGACCCACCTTCTTCCTCATTCCACGGATGCCTCTCCCGTTCGCTCACAGGAACCCTGTGTGCTGCTTGGCACACACCCCGGCAGCCCTGTGCCCGCCCAGCGCTGTCACCCTGGCATTCAACTCCCCAGGGAGCTCAAAAGGCCTCCACGCACCATTTCTTTCCTCTTCCTTCAACAGGGAACTTATTCTCAAGTTTTTCCTTGAATTTCATTCCATGTTAAAGGCTTTCTGCCCTAGCTGGTTGGCTCCGTGGGTAGAGCGCTGGCCTGCAGACTGAAGATCAGTCCCGGGTTCGATTCCCGTCGGGGGCACATGCCCGGGTTGCAGGCTCGATCCCCAGGAGGGGGCGTGCAGGAGGCAGCCGATCCGTGATTCTCTCTCATCATCGATGTTTCTCTCTCTCTCTCCCTCTCTGAAATCAATAAAAATATATTTAAAAAAGTAAAATAAAATAAAGGCTTTCTATTTGACTTCTGAACTTGTTATTAGCAATGACTCTTTGTGGGGGGGGGCGTTTTCTTTCTCCTTTTTAAAAAAATATATTTACATTTACTTCAGAGAGGAAGGGATAGGGAGAGAGAGGGAGAAACATCGATGATAAGAGAGAACCATGGACCGGCTGCCTCCTGCACGCCCCCTCCTGGGGATGGAGCCCACAACCCGGGCCTGTGTCCTGACAGTGACCTTCTGGTTCATAGGTCAACATTCAACCACTGATCCACACCAGCCAGGCTTTCAATCATCACAGGGTGGCCGGAAGTTCCACTCTCCCTGGAACAGCACCTCTCCACAGATCAACTGTTTCCATCCAAACAACCCACACCATTTCCAATGAGAAAGGTTTTTCCCTTTTCGTTTGCACACGGCAGTCCAGGAATCAATGGAGGTGGCGATTCGATGGGTGAGAAGCTGGGCGAATGAAGTTCTCTAACCCAGAAGGACCCCGCTGGACACCTGGCCAGGCTGCTGGCGCCACTGGCTGGGAAGTCCTGCCCCCGTGTGGCCGCTGACCTGCTCCGGAGCCGGCCCCCTGCCTTGGCTTAGGGAGATTCAGGTCTAAAATAACCACGTCAGCCCGGCCGGCGTGGCTCAGTGGTTGAACGTTGACCTAGGAGCCAGGAGGTCACGGTTCGATTCCCGGTCAGGGCACAGGCCCGGGTGGCAGGCTCGATCCCCAGTGGGGGGTGTGCAGGAGGCGGCTGATCCATGATTCTCTCTCATCATTGATGTTTCTCTCTCTCTCTCCCTCTTCCTTCCTCTCTGAAATCAATAACAATATATATATATTTATAATATTTTTTAAAAAGATGTGGGCTTCCCTAAAATAGAAAATGTTCTGCAACTTCCATTTCCCATTCTTTGTTTTTAATATATTTTATTGATTTTTTACAGAGAGGAAGGGAGAGGGACAGAGAGTTAGAAACATCGATGAGAGAGAAGCATTGACCAGCTGCCTCCTGCACACCTCCCACTGGGGATGTGCCCGCAACCAAGGCACAGGCTCCTGACTGAAATCGAACCTGGGACCCCTCAGTCTGCAGGCCGACGCTCTATCCACTGAGCCACCCCGGTTAGGGCTCCATTTCTCATTCTAATGCTCAGACGTCGCAGAAACACCAGGTGAGTTACGACACTTTCATTTGCACCAAGAGGGACGCGTGGGCATCGGTTTCCAAGACCTCAACAATCCATCCTCTCCATATACTTGAGCTTCTCTGCACACAGACACCAACATAGTACCTCACTGATTGCATTTCCCAAAGATTATTAATCTGTTCAATAACAACGTGGAACTCAAACCATGCAGTGCAATGAGTGCAAAAACATGAAATAATACAGGACCTTCTCTGAAAAGCCACAGCGGACCCACTTTGTTTATTTATCTTACACATATTCTTATTGATTTCAGAGAAGAAGGGAGGGGGGGAGAGAGAGAGACACATCCATGATGAGAAAGAATCATGGATCGGCTGCCTCCTGCACGCCCCCCTCTCCCCACTGGGGATGGAGCCCACAACCTGGGCATGTGCCTTGACCAGGAATCG